TAAAGTTAATTCACAAGGATATATTCAAGTTAATTGTATCATCATTATGTTTCCACAGACTAACATTCACATCTGAGAACCTAAGACACAATTAGGGTGCAAGTGAATTTGCAACTCCCAATGCAAGTACCATTTCATGTTTCCTTTAAAATGGACTCATTCCTTATTTAGTTCAGTATTACAAAATGGCATTTGTTTCAACAATACGAGTACAATTATACTTTAGTTGCCTTGTAGATGAAAGGATATTCTATCCCTATGACTAGTAGATGTAAGGGCACGTGCCAAGAAGGCAACTCGCAACAAGTTGGCAAAATATGGTCTCCTTGGCAGGAGTGGGAACTGTAGAACAAACATTAAAATACATCCACAAACTCGACAAATCACAGGCAGCAGATGTAATTGAATGTAGAGAAATATAAATACTGACAGTAAAATTTAATTTAATTTGATTTGATTTTGAGATACATATTTGAAAGTTGCACATGTATTTTTTTTCCCTGTTGACTACATCTAAAGAGAAAAAAAAAGTGTCATTGTTGGTTGAATTATGGAATTTTGGTTACAGTAGTTAGAATGGGTGATTGAACACCTTCTGGTGAGATGTACACACATGGCAACTATCTCTGTTCTTTGGACCTTAAGATGGAAAATTTCTACAACCTTAACCTCATCAAAAGTTCAATATACATATTATTGAACACACTTCTGTTTCAGGCTGAAGTGAAATCAGAAGTGGTTGTTAAAATTCTGTGTTTCTCTGGTCCACAAGAACATATGGCTGCTTAGGGCGGCCACATGAACAGCACTAGAGAACTTTGGGACAAACCAAGCCCCGCAACATATCAAACGAATTACCATCAGGGTGAACAGTAAATGTGGATCCATTGTGGCTTCGCACTTGCAGGAATCCATAATCATCCACACCTTCAACCATTACTGGTTGACTGCTTCCATCTGGTCCGACAACAGTGACTTCAGCATTGCTAAAAGGAATACATTACGAATAATATGAAAAATTGAGGTAATAATATAATTGCAAAATATATTCTTTAATACTTTAAGGAAATCATTTAAATATTTTGAATATTTTTTTACAAGCATTGTCCAAATAACAACCGCAAAACATTATTATTAAATTCATAGTTTACAGAAAATTGACAATGAAGATTATTCAACAAATACAAGCATATCTCTATAATAAAATAATGCTTTATACATTCAATAATGCAATACACCTGTACATATGTAATACAAAATATCCATATGAAACAATAATTCACACAGTATCTTTATCAGAACTGCCCATATGCATTGGTTGGGTTTTTGGATAGTGTGTCAGAATCTAAGTTGTGTAATTGTCCGGGCTCCAAAGCAGACTATTTCTAACAATGGAAAATCATGCTGATTGTATCATTTGTGATTATTCACTGTCTTTTGTAATTTAAGCTTCTTCTACTACAAGAACAAAAAAATACCCTCCTATTTTCCTTCCAAAATTTGGTGGTGGATTTCTTTAAATCACTTGAAATGAAATATTTCTTTTTTTCTAACAATTTCAGAGAGGACCAATTTCAAATCGGTGTTTCAATACTGTTCTCACAAATGTTTTTGAATTAATAAAGGGAATTTAAAATTAATCATTCATAATGGAATTAGTTTGACTGTTGGATGTGTGTGTGCCATAATGTGTGGTAGATCACAATAAAATGCTGTTTAAAAAAGCGGCTTCAGGGGGGTGGAGCAAGGGCCTATGGTTGCGATTTGCTAATGTGCTCGGTCGTCGTGTGCTTTTTCCCCGGGACCTGGCGTACCTTACTTACATGCCTCTATCCTATTGCATCTGGCACACCTGGCTTTGCTTGCCCGGATGCTTCACACCAGCTATGTTACAATTAAAGTTGCAACAATAGGGGAATTGGCATGGTTCCGCCAGTATAGAAACAAATATCCTGATAAAAAAAAATATGTGCATATATGCAAATTTGGATGCTAGGGCACTGAAAGACAAAATTGAATCTTCTGACCAGCAATCAGGCTTCTTTGGATCATCCAGACAAATTTTTTCAAGCATATTTCTCAAATTGACAAACTGCATAACCTAAGTGATAGCATCAGGCACAAATTTCATATCAAACTATATAAATATTTTTAAAACAAGTGAACCATTCAAATGACTTCCCAGAAGGTGTCTTTTATAAATGAGAATAATTTAACTAAACCTTGTTGTAACCAGTAAGAGTAGTAACAGCGTCGGACGCACTGGCGTCTAATTTTGATCGTTTTGGGCCAACATTTAGTAGCTTTCAAGTTGCAGTAAATACCCCGGGCAAGATATTTTTGCCCGGAAGACAAGTCATCAACTTTGTGTAGGAACTGCTTTGTTGTGTTTCCTATGAGGCTGTTGATGGCATGTATGGGGGATTTATTGTCGAGATTCCACTCCACATCCTGTACATAAGACCCCAAACCTATAAGGTAATTCAAACAAACTAGAAAATTATCATGAAAAATTGACCTCATGTTGAATTTCTTCTCATAGAATTTTTTCTGGTGTCACCAATGTTTAGAATGTAAAAAATGCGCAGGGTAGGGTAAAAACAATTAACATCTCGGGATTAGACTTAATTAGTTCTACATTTCAACTCACTAATACTAAAATGTCACAAAATTTTAAGTTTAATGAAAGTTTTTACATATATCATGTTCAACCTCAGATGACTTAATACATTTTCAGTTCAAGATATTTATATTGAAATATTGTAAAATGCATCTTTATGTACGCTGACTGTCAGTTTGCATTTCTCAGTATTGTGGAGCACCTGCCAATGTGAATACACCAAAAAATAACAGGAAACATACCTTGCGGTGGTATCCAGACTGGCTTGGTGGACACATTCTTCTGGCCAAGAAGTTTTAAAATACTTTTTTGGTTTACCCTTTAATTCCATGTGATTTGAATTGTTTGGTCTTGTGGTATTGCTGGATACCTTTTTGAATATAAGTTAAAAGATACTGGCACCATTAATGAGCTTTAGCTGTTATAAGCCCAGCCATCTTCCAAACAACTTTTACAGAGGAAAATATATAGTGTGATTTTCTAATCATTTACAATAGAATCCAGTTTCAAAAACCTATTCTCCATCCCTTGAGCAAATATCATTTTTGACAAAAAGCAATGATTCGTAAGTCAAGAGACATGGCAATGGTAAAATTTCTAGCTTAATTTAGATGTGTTTCCCCAGAACATTACATTATATCTCAGGTGGGAATGAACATTTGTGAAATATACAGAATGAGCAGTATAAAGGCTGAAGGAATTCTGAACACAGCATGAATGCAATGAAGTTAATTTCATGTTCAATTCATGCATGTTTCTTTTCTATCTACCTAGTAATATCCTCACTTCATTTTCTCTTGATTTTACATACCACCACCTGCTTTAAAATCTCTTTTAGCTGTAGTACCTTGTCCTCCACTTTTTACTGTTTTATAAACACGGATAATTCTAAAAACATAAATATCCTTGTTTTCAAGACAATCAAAGGTAATTTATAAATTAAAGTCTTCATTTTTATCTGAAATTAAAAATGGCAAACATTTTTGAAGATAGTGATTACAACTTTTTTTTAATGCAAAAAAACAGAATGAAAATCTTTAAAATTTGAGTCATACATACAAAATTTAATTAGATGGGAGAGAAGTTACCAAAGCATCTTTAAAGAAGTACAAATCTTATTGTAAAAAATGAAAATGTTTTTTTTATATAAAAGATTTTTTAACAAGTGATGATATCAAAATACTTAATGGAAAAAGTTTCCATTGTAAGAGTTATGATCCTCACTGTACAGAGGAAGAGGCAAGTCTTAGTAGAGATGGAGCCAATCAATGTATCGATGTAAAATAGACAGTATTTTGAATATTAACAATGAAGCTACTACAAAACAAGAGGTGGCAGGGGGAAAAGAACAGATCTACATATAATTACACCATTAAAGTTGCAAAAGCAAAACAGAAACAAACATAAAATCTATAAATTTTATTCTATTTTACTTTAGAAAGCACATTATCATCCATGTTAGTAAAAGTGTAAAATGGAATTAAAAGTCTCATATTTGTATATGTCAAGTTTCAGAAGTCAACCTCAAATACTTTTTAAGTTTATTATCCTAAAAAATGGTTGGACTGACAAAATTAAATGAATGGGCAAACTCAAGGGTATACTGAGAAATATAATTCAGTTTTGTGCCAGTCTCCTTAATATTATTAGCGTGTTCTTCAATTCTTTGCTTGACAGCATGTATTATTTGTTCCACATAGGACACAGAACAATTTTGACATTTTAGTTCGTAGACAACATTTTGTTGATCAGTTAAAGCAATTTCACCTTTGACTTTTTTTAATCGGATTTAGTTTGAGAGGCAATTTATTCCTAATTTTGATGTGAGATTTTTTGGAAATATCTCTCTTGCCATTAATATGCACATTTTCAGCAATTTGTATACATTGTTGCTTTTGTGAGTGTTTCAAATGACTTGCAATGAAGTTTTTCAAAAACTGAAAAGTTTCGTGTCAAAAAGAGCTACCCATTTCACATTCACAGAATTGCTTAAACAACATTTTTCTTAAAAATGACTTCAAATTTTTCAATGAAAATTTCAATGTAAGAGGTGGTTTCACTCTTCTATAATTTTCTTAAAGTGATATTTTTGTTCTGCAATTAGAAAACCGAAAAATTAAGAAAATTTTAAAGAAAATATACTTTGGGCGACGATAGATGGCAGCTGACAAGACCAAAAAGCTAGTCCAGCCCAAAGAAATTACAAACCTAACTAGTACAATAATGTCTGTGCTATTTTGTAGCACTACTAGTTTTTTTTATACTTTGCCTTCATATAACGTAAAGAATGCTTAAGAGAATGGCGCAGGTGTCATCTACGTGGAACTTTGATTTTTTTTTTTTGTTTTTGTTTTGCAAATTTGCAAATTTAGAAATAATGAGAAGTATGGCTGTTGTAGCAGCACTAGTTTCTACCATTATTCTTCTTATCATTACCCTGTCCTCCTCAAATTCCTTTCTAACTCTTGTTAACACCTCCCGTTGCCCTTCCCTTCTTAAATATTCTTTGTATTATCCATCAATAGTTTTATGTGTGTCTTCTTTCCATTCCATGATGTCTTCCTCTTCTAACCATGTTTCCATCAACACATTCAACAGTGTCACCTCCTTTCAAACTTCATTGTCTTAGTTTGCTAGTCTTGCCACATTCCAAAAATCTTATCCTTACATTTCCTCTTTTCTTCTCTTATTTTTTTTTCTACTCTCCATCTTTTCTCCTTGCCATCCCTACATCCACCCCTCACCTGCTTTTTTGTCTTTGGGTCCTCCAAACATATTTTTTCCTCGGGACTATTCTATTTCCATTTCTCATCATTATCAATGACTTGCATCCTTTTCCTCTGCAATCTCCTCTTAATTAACCATTGAATCTTATGAGAAAAATGACTTTCATGATGAAACTCTTTAAATGTGAAGTCCAAGGTAAATTGAAAAAAACTGAATTATCCATACTTTGAATTAACTGACAAAAATATATTTATTTACTTACCAATGTTGCACACTACTGTAGATTTATCTATAGTGCAGTTAACAATTAGACCACCAAGCTTCACTGAATTTCCATGATATATGTCATTTGGCCACTTGAGGCGTAAATTGAGGATCTGCAAACATATTAAATTACCTAAAATATATTTTGCATCAATAGTTAATGCTGATAAAAGTAATAACAATGTTAAAAAAATCAAAGAAAAAAAAACATTTCAGGTAAAAAAAGGAGAAGAAGAGATGTTTGTTCTTTGTAATATTTGAATAGCTACAGTTTAATTAAAATATTGTGTTAAAAAAAATTAAGAAATCATGAGGAAATGTAAGTGTTTTTTGTGTTTTCAAAAACAGTATTGTACAGTTTTAATAGAGTAACTGAAACTAAATCATAATGTTAATTAACACATTTTCTAAAATTTGTATTCTAAGACATTTTGTGTATAGTTTGTTTAGAAAGGTAAATGTCTATTCACAGGCATTAGAGCTGAAGTATTTAAAGCTGAAAAGATTTAAGTGTGTTGTACTGTGTAAGAAAGAATTTATGCAATGTATGTACACTTTTTTTAAAGTTGCCTGTCAAGTTCACTAGGTGTAGTGACATTGCAGCTCCCTTTCGGAATCTGCCCTCCCTCTCCCTTTCTCATGCGTGATCTTAACACGCCATTTTAGAAAAATCAAAGTATAGAAGAAGTAAAGGAGAGTCAAAAGAAATGGCACTCATTAACAATATGTAGGAAAGATTACTAATTACAGTGGTTCAAACATTAGCCAAAAGGATAAAAATATGCAGAAAGATTGATCATAATATTGGATACTGGATCTCAACTTCAGGCCACAACCCGCATATTAAAGCATTATAGGCCCCTGATGATGAGCCTATTAACATGTCAACTTAATTTCACACAACATGCTTGTTCACCACATAATTCCAGCATGTACCTCTAAACATTCCCCATACGATTCCCTACCAATTTCCTAAATGTTTATCACAGGTTTGCCCAAATCGTCTGCCAGATGTTCCCCCAAATACTCTCTCAAATATAGTACCAATTCTTTATCACTTGTTCAGTGCATGCTCTCACACTTGTTAACTTGGTAATTAAATCAGAAATTCAAAAAATTAATCAATGTGATATTACTTTCTCGGAGGGAGAAAGAAAGAGAAAGATATGTAATGCTGTGTGAAAAAACAGTGATTTTTCTGCAGAAAATCTCTTATTACAGGGCCCTAGTAACAAAAAATTGAATAAATCCAGTTGCTAAATTTACAACACAAAAATCCTAACTTGTTGAGTAGCCAGAATCCTTGTTTTGTGGGTCCTTAATAGCGAAAAAATCAAATGACGACAAAACATTTATCTGTACCTTCATCTGTGAACAACGCAAGGAGCTAAACCGTTCAGCTGATTTTCTCCAAAGCCAATATTCCCCAATCAATCTGGCTGATATCGCAGCCCCTTGAATTTGTAACCAATATTTTAATTTTGGTGGGGAACTTTACATGAAGCTCTTGGGATATTTTCAAAAAAATAGATCCATTTCTGATTAAATTTTTTATTAAATAGTATGAAGAAAGGTGCTGGTCTCAATTTTGTTGAAAACTGATTTTTCGAAAATTACAAAAACCCTGAAGTTTTTCAGCGTCTTCCTACAACAACAATTATGACGATAAAATTTTTTTCCCTCAATGAAATCTGTTTCTTAAAGATAGATTTTGAAATAAGGTCATGTATAATTTTTCGAAAATTTAAGTACTTTTTCTGTAATTTTGCATGATTGTATGTGTGAGAACATACATTATGTTGTAGCACCAAAAGTTTTTTTTCTTATGATATACTTTTATAAATGTTTCAGCTGCTACAGAGTATCCCCGCCAGATTAAATAGAAAGTTATGTGGTCCCAGAGGTCACTATAGGTCCCAGAAGAACGAACCCCCCCAAAAATGTAATAGAAGAGGGCCCCAAAAATTTGCAAAAATTGCAATCTCCATAAAGCAGAACTTTTCAAATATGATAATAGCTTTACACTGGAACCCAAGTTTCGGCATTTCTAGCAATTCTTATGGAGTGACATAACCATTAAAAATGAAAGAGTACATACAAAAATTAGTATTTTACAAATTAGTTTAGAAGACCTAACATGTATGTGCCTTGAAAGCTCTAGGATGCATTGTTTCCAAGTTATGCACAAAGGTAAATTATGTTGAAGCTTAATGTGTTTTACAGGTTGCACATGAGCACCTGATAATACAAATGTGGCTAATCTATGCTATTCATATTAAATCTCTTTGAAACACTTCTGGAAGCAATAATTCACTCACAGGGAATTGTTTTGTAATTGAAGGGAATTATCTCTTATTTTTCCTTAGTGCATTATATATTGTGGAGATATATTCTATTTTTACATTTTTTGAGTTGTAGCACTGGGGAGCAATACCTGAGTATTCTTACTAATGCGTATTATATACTGCACATGTGAAAATAACTGAACTCTCTTTTTCCCATCTTCTAAGAAATGAGGTGAAATACCATTTACTAGCTTGCAGGTCTTGGAAGTTACAAAGAATTTGTACCACCTTGTGACTATGGAGTGAACTGTTGAATTTGTTTTTTCCTGCTGCTTAAATATAATGTTGAAGAAAAGAAATTCTCAAATTAAAAACAAATTTTTATTTAAATAAGAATTTAAAAAAAAATAAGAGGGAATCGGAGGATTTAACATTTGAAATAAATATGAAGTAAATTCTTTCTTGGTGAGTTCATTATTTCTTCAAATACTGTACCATTCAAATGACACAACACAATTTTGTCATTACCAAAATTGTTTTGAAGTTTTTGGTGTATTGGAAGAATTAAAAGTTACTTGCCTCATATCCTGGAAGAGAGCTGATTCCTGACACTATCGCTAATCCTACAATATGTTGTAGGAATGGCGTATGACGTCCTAAGTGTGTTTCAGTTGGAATGTGCAGTTGCATGGAAAACATAGCGCAACCTTCTGGGCTCAACCACACATTTCCTCCTCGGCCTGCAAAATCACCAGTCATAGTGAGGTACGTAAACTTCATATTGATTGTTTAGCAATCAAGCAATTCTCTTTTTTTAATACCATGAATGTTTCAAATAACTGTTAATGACGGCATTTTACATTCAGAAGCACAACTCAGTTTAGATACAAAGTCTTGAAGAGATTTTAAGTAAAATCAATTATAATTTATGAGATGGTTGAGATCTATAAATTTAGACAATACACAATTGTTTTGCATTAATCAAGAAGCAAAGAAAAGAGCAATTAAAAATACTTACAAGAAAAATAAAAAAATAAACTTTAGGAACATTGGGAACATTCATTGAAATAAATTTTCTAAATGAATTTACCCTACATTACTTTTTATACTTATTTCTCTAGAAATTTTAAAAATACAAAAACTAATTCAGAAACTGGTGCATAATAAATCTTTTATCTGGTAAGAGCATGAAAGAAGCTATAAGTGCTAAATAATGCACTTAATTGAAGTCAACTTTCTAGATAACATACCACTCCAATTTATTGAGAACTAGAACTAGCTCTCCCTGTGCCAGATTTACTAACTTCATATTTCAGCAAACACAAAGAAACGCTTCTGATATCTGATTTGCCATCTTTAACAAGTACTTTCTTTCTAAAGGATAATTTATGTAGAACAGTTGCAACAATATTCTAGAGCAAAAAGAGGTGACCTAATATAATTGCTAAAGTTTAAAATGATATGATGAAATCTTCCAATTGACAATTTAACACTTACTGAAACCAAAGTACATTGAGTACCTCATCACTTGTCACAATTTAAATTGCCCAACCTAGCAATGCCAACTCGTATGAATTAGGTTGCAAATAGGTAGAGCTCATAATAAGTGGTAGATATTTGAATACTTAATACTTTAAAAATATGTACATTATTTCTTAATTAATAATTTTATAAAATCATTCATACTGAATTAAAAATATATTTTGTGAAAACAACCCAGCATGTCAATATTTGGCTGCCTTTTTATTTCTGCACCAATACTTCCCTAGGGACTGAATTTAGATAACAAATAAAAAATCATTTAAGTTGATATATAGTCAGTTTGGGATCTTGGGGATGGGTCAATAAAAATACAAAAGTTTTTGAGCCAAAACCAACATTTTGACAATTTAGTGGGGCTATGAAGTTGCATACATTAGTTAGTAAATCGAGGCATAGTTACCATGTTTAAGGAAACAGTGAATGGGATATAGCACACCGCCATTATGCTGAAAGAGCACACCATTATGTTACACATAATTAATGTCGACTGATAACATAAGATGACTTCCATGGACACCGCATTAGAATAATTTCAACAACAAATTATTGTGTACAGAACGGAGAGTGTGTGGTCTTGGTGCAACAGTTATGAAATGGGATTGTTATTATTGTGAACATGCACATTGTATACAATGACTAGGAAGAAAAAAATTACAGATATGTAACACACAGGCTGAATCCAATTCAATGTTGTATTATTACTGGAAGCTATACTCAAATACTACTTTAACCTATGTAACTTCAAAGTCTTGAAGCAAGCCAAATAAATGAACAAAACATTAGCTGTGAAACAAAAATTCTGCCATTTTATTAACCTGTGCTCTAAATCTCAATATTCTTTAAACACGAGGTCAAGCTTAAGACAGACAGGTAGTGAGAAGATATTAATTTAAGAACAAATTAAATACATAAATTTAATTATGATGAAAATCTTTCACACTCCAAAGCCAATTGGAGCAATAAAAAGAATCATCATACCCTCATTAGCTTCAGCATGACCTATCCCAAATTTATCTGACTGAATTAAACTCACCTACACCTCTAGTTTGCTGGCATGGTACCACAGCCAGGCCATGATGAAGGGTGATGCCTGTAACTACATCCATAGAGCTACCCATGACTTCACAGTAAATCATTAAACGGCCCAGTACTTCAGAATGTAAATTTTCAAAGTATCTGGAAGCATCATACGAAATAAAATGCATACAATCGTATGCATAGAAAGCATATAAGCACAATGTTTTGCTTCAAATGTGGAAAATATAATTGAAAATATTACATCTTCTTTTCAACATACTCAACAGTAGAGAAATTGGCAGGACAAGAATGTACAAGCACAGGCAGATGTGATGCAGTAGCTCGGCCTGGTTCCACACCTTTGCCACAGAACTGCAAAGTAAGTCGGGGTAGCCGCAAAGTGTTATCAGATCCAGGAACAAAATGAGACCCCAATCTGCTCAATAATTCAAGTTTAAGTTCATGACGACCAAGGAAATAAGCAGGCGAATTTGTAGGTTCAGGCTGAGTAGGAGCACATTCTAGGCCTAAGTGCTGGCTCAAAAGATCTTGCAAAATCTCATGTCGAGCTTGTTCACTTCCACGCAAGGTGCCGGCCAGACTTGCATCTGCTGAGTATTCACTGGGATCTACTTCCAAATGTACCTAGTATATCAACAAGACAAAAAATGAAAATAATTTTAAATTCCATTCTAACACATTAAAAGGCAATAGGCTAAAATAATTAGGAGGCTGATTTTTATGTCGTGACATATTTTCCCCTCGCCATTATTTAATATTTTAACATAATATAAACACATTTCTTGAATTCTAATAAAATCTGATTTTTTATTGGGCATATAAATGCATAATTTGATATTTTAAAATTAATCTAGAATTTTTATGATAAATTCACAAAATTGTGTTATATTTTTGGGATTTTCAGTAAAAAATAAATCTATCCTCTAATAATAAAGGGCATGATTCTCATTTGTGGTATTTAAGAGTAACACTTTAAAAGAATCCTCAAAATTTGTTAGGCATAAAATGCAAGATTTTTCATTCCTAATTTCTTTAAAATACTTTAATACTTCTTACCTAAATATTAACAAGACATTGCATATAGACACATAAAATACAAAATTTTCCTTTGAACTCGTTATAAACAATCTTTTGTTTCATTTCATTCTAATTATTATGCAGTGATATAATATAGAAGGAGATTTTAATCTGAGAAAAATCTAGCTGACAAATTGAAAAAGAAGAAAATTGTTCTAGTACCTGAGAAAAGACAATTCGACCTCCAGAATTCCCTGCAGAAGCAAGCAAGAGTGATGGAGAGTGCCATGTTTCCTCTGTTCCCAGGACCTGAACTTGCAATGTGTGAGGTTTGTTTTCTGCATCCACCACTTCAACTGAGGCAGGTGTTTTAGGTGGTGATAACCTTTGGAAATAAAAATGTTATAAATGCATTTCCATTTGAGAGAAAAAGAACATTTAACACAAAATTTAAAAAATGTACAAAAAGTCCTGAAAAGTTGCAAGATTAAAAAACCAGAAGTGCAAATTTTGAACTTTTCATTATTTGATTAATAACTGACTGTGGAATTTAAGAGTATTTGAATCCAGTTCGAGATGCTTGTGTGTTAAGAGATGCACCCAGAATTGTGATATTTCCCCATCTTTGGGCATCTTCAAATAAGATTAATAAATTTTAAACAGAATAACATTTTTTCAAGCACAAAAAAACAATATTTAATTTGGTAATGAAATGACTGTGATGTGATCTGATGTCAAATTTGAGGAATTCAATAATATGTAACTGTTTTGTATATTTAACAAAAATTAAGTTTTAGTCTCTTGCTAAAAATATTTCTACAATGAATGTAAGATTAGAGACTATGTAACAGAAATATTAGATGTTAATTTTTCTTTGAAAACTCAGTGCAGAAGAACAAAAGAAACACAAATAAAGAAAAATTTAATTAATTGAAAAAGGCACATAAAGTTTTCTTCTCAGACTCCAATATTACATAAAAGGCCTGGTATTTCACCTAGCTCCGTCAGATGTAGGTGGTGCTTCTTCTGATACAGTAGTGGCATCTTGGCGAGAGAATCGGGTACGGGCTGGAGATGCTTGATAGCAGAATACATGGTGCATCAAGTGCACTCCCCGCCAACGACTGTATGAAAACCGTACCAACTCTCGCTCACGTACTTCTGCTGTTCGGAAAGTAGGCAACACCAAGTGAAGTAGATCTGAACACAAACACAGCATACGTCCTCCAGCCAACACGTATGTCAGAAAAAGAGGTGCTAATGTTTCAGGTACATTCCCACACACCACCACCAATAAAGTGTTGTCCATCCAGGGTGCTGATAATAATTGTTCTCTATTCACAGGGTAGATAGTATACCTGTGGACAATAAATTTCAACATACTGTTAAATAACATATTTGACATAATCACATCATATTCTGGAAAATAGATGAAGTACACTGCAAGACTTACATATGACTTTGGAGTTATGATGGTAGCAATAAACAAAATGCTAAAAGATGCTAAAAAATAAAGAATTCTAATGAGAGGTTTTGAAACAAAACTTTGGTCAGAAGAGAAAAACATAAATAATTACTACTTCAATGATGGGAATTCTTCAGAACATAAAAATTCATACATTCCTTGCATAGGATTAATTGTTGCAGTCACTAGTTAATGTAATAAAATAATCTTATAAGTACAAGAATAATTAATAATTTATTGTATTGTATAAAAAAAGTAAAAATTACACACACACACACACACACATGCCTAAAAAAAATTATTCAGTGAAAATAACAATGTGATCGATTCTTTTATAATATACTCAAACAGTATTTTATTCTTTTTTATAGTTTTGCTTCGATTGGTTGTCTCAGAAATATTTCAGAATCTCACAAATGTTGCAACTAATTTTTCTTTAAAAGAATCAAACTTACTTGTGCCTGTGTAATGTTGAGTGTAGAACGGTCTTCACATCTTCCACTGTTACATTGCTTTCCGAAAACACAAGTACATTTGGAGGCTTCACTTTTGGACCTGAACCAATTCGGAGTGGTTGACTGTGAGCGAAGGATAGAGACAAGGGTGCTGCTGGTCGTGACTGTCCATTGGCTGGAGGAGCCTCTGAAGCCTTCGTCTTGTCTCCAATAGACACCGTGCTGGCAGAGCCAAGCGAACAGAATGAGTCACTGCTCTTTGACTCTCTGAAATGGGATTTTTGCCAGTGAATGAGGGGAAGACTGCACTTTAAGACAAAGTGAACTTCTGTTGTATATTAAAAATAATGTTGCCAATTGAACTTTTAAACTATTTTATTACAGTGCAGTCACACTTGTAAATAAATCTCAAATTTAAAATACATTCACTGGATTTTTATCATTAGAAACTAGAATTAGTATTAATAAAAAATTAGAGAATAGACTGAGAGTAAAATTTAGCATCTAAAAGAAATGTATACATAACAATCAGTTTGTAAAAGGAGATTGAATAGGGCAGGGAGGCCATTGACTTGTGGAAGGATAGACACCTTGGTGAGGACAATGGAGGAGCCTCCTCTTGACTTGTTCCAGGGGAACCTTCTTTTCTTTCAGGGGAAGGTCCAGCTTCCTGATCTGGTGAAGGAATTTCAATCTCCTGGACACAGCTGGTGAATGACTCACTGCTTCGCTGAGCCTCAGGTAAGCCAGGCTGGTGAGATCGAGCAGGACTGGGAATGGGGGCCACATCACTGGCTGTCCCACTGCTGCTGCCTATGAAAGGGCAGGAGGAATAGTCAGGAGGCCCAGCAATGCTTGTATCACAACACAAATAACTGTAAATAACGGTCTGAATTTAAAAAATTTGGACAAATGATATTGTATCATTAAATAATTTTAATATTTTAAATTGTAAAAGAATGTATCAATCAGAAATAGCATAGCTGGGTCTATGAAAAGTAGGGCCATAGATTATTTTTAAAATTATTTATTAACTTTGCCAATTTTACTACTCCTAAACATTACAATTTATGTTTGCTAAGAAGCTTGTGTTGTAATTATTGGCGCTACAGCTTAAATTAATTCTACACAATTACTGTAAAGTGACAGCACCATTTCTTAATTATCCATCAGCTACCAACCTCTTAAAGACAGGAGAGGTAGTAATTAAAAAATGTAAATGCAATTATTCTACACAGTGCATGGTCACTTCTTTTCAATGAGGTAGAATTAGACTGCTCTATCATGTACGTACTGCTATAGTTTCTGCCAGGGGCGGATTTAAATTCCTGTGCTCAAAGCTTGAAAACTGGTAAGAAAGTAATTGGCACAGAAAAAAAGAAATACTAGGTAGAGTTCTAAACACCTAGTAGTTTAGTCAAACTTGAGAAGAGCTAGATACTTTATGCTTCATGCATAATGGCAAGCCACTTCTACAATACTTTGCCTACTAATAAATCCGGCCCTGTTTATGGGGGATGTTTACTGTAAGTACCGCCTGCTTGGGTGGCAAGATTGAGGCTGCTGCGACTCTGCACCTCCTCTCGAGCCATACGACTTAAATTGACAACTGGGAAACAGTCGGCTGTCTCTGGAAGGGTCACCACTGTAGGATAGTCAAGGGTGAGAGCTCGATTCCCAGCTGTCACCAATGCTGAGGGATATGCAGAAACGCCAACTTGTGATTCAGAATTAGAAGCCTCAACAGCAGCAGCACTGAAGCTCTGTAGAAGTTCAATGTGGGTCTGCCATTGCACTGGGGACATCTGTTGACCCATACACTGCGATGCCACAGGTTCTGCCCCTAATACAAAATTGCTATCAGAATCCATACATAAGATATAATACTTCAGCATCAGTGCAGAGAATGCTTTATTCAAGACCTTTTTATTTGATGAAATAAAATGCTATTCAAGACTACATTAAAGAATAACCATTTCTAGAGTTTATGGCTACAATTTCATGAAATGACAAAACCATAGGGAAAGAGGATCAAATAAAATTATTTAGTCATGAAACTTGGGAAATAGTGACACAGAGAGATGAAAGATATGGGTTAATTCTGCCTCTTCTTAAAACAATTCAAACACACAGAAAAACAACCATGAAGCAGTAAATATGTTTCTTAATGAATACCAGCATTCTCATGAGCACTAAACAAATGCTGATTTTAAGTTATTCAAAGATAATTTTCAGTCATTTGTAACATAAAAATTCAAAGCTATTATTTAAAAGCATGCTTAGTATAGAATGCAAGTTTTTAATCACTTTACCAATAGAGAGAAATTTGTATTGAATAAGAGAAAGATGAATATCTGATAATAAAACAAACATTTACATGCAGTAAGTCAAATCTGAAGGTGAATGAAAGACACTGATTGTCATGCATTAAACAAATAACAAAATAATTATTTAAAAAGTTAGACAATAATCAATAATAATTTTCGCAATTGAAAATCTAGCAATTGGGTTTGACATTTGGTGCCTTCTGAAAGGGCACTACCTGGAGAAACAGCTCCATCTTCAATTCTGGTTGGTGCTCGAGTAATGGGAATTGAATCAGTATTCAATAAAAGGCATGGACGACCTTCAACAGCAACAGCTGTTTTTCATCCACCATGGCAGCATTTCAAAGAAGAAAAGCCTATTCATTATGTATGTCCTTCATTTTAATTGAAAGTATGCCAGTCCTCACTGACTTCAAAATTAAGAACACTCTTAATAGTATTTATTTGAAAAGGCATTGAATACTATTTGCAATACAATTATTAAATAATTGTTTAAACTTAACACTGATTCCCTCAAATTCCAAAACTATTTTCAATACATTTCATACTGCATATCAAAAGGCCGTCAAAAACAAAAAATGAATTAAATAAGCTGTCAAATCTTTTCCATTTAATTCTCAAAACTTTCTATTTTTTAGGTTCAATGCAAAAATATCAAAAATCAATGAAGCATTACTTATAATAAAATGACAGTAAAATCTGTACCAACAAAATGATCATAATGACATATTTGGAACTTATAAAAATCATTTACACATCTTGAAAACTTACTTTGAACACGAACTATCTCCATTCCATCATCAATAGACAATAGATTACTCATAAATGTTGAGCCCAATTTTGCAAGGTGATCAACATCAGATTCCAAAATGATCGCAAATTGATCCCCAGCTTTCCAAGCACGTGGTATTCCATATTGCTCTAACTGGAAAGTAATACAAAGAAAGGAGAAGATAGTTGTAAAATAATAATAATAATAATAATAATAATAATAAAATAAGATACTCAGCATTATGAATAAAATTTAGACAAACATTTACTTGACAGTAACTTGAACTCCGCACTCCATCTGCTTTCAAATAGTTAGCTTCAATTAACAAATAAAGTTTGAGATCATCAACCAAAACTGCTGGAGATATGCCAGAAATTTCCAAAGGAAATAAAGACTTCTCATTGTGAAAACTAATCCAATAATTTGCATTAACTTTTTGCTGGAATTTGAAAATATTTCTAGAAAATCCCTTGAAAGTTGCAAGAAACCAACACACAAAATGACAAAACGTTGTACTTTGTCTTACCTGAGGAAAGACAGAACAACCCCTCTTGCTTCCTACATACCATAAGAGATCTCCAACTCGTGCTTCACTGCTATTTAAGCAACTAGAAGAACTCACTCCTGTTAACTGCACACTGAAAGTTCCTAAACAGGCTCCACAATGAGTAATAAAATACTAGACAAATAAGTTACCAGAAAATATAAACAAAATTTCAAATATTTCACCTTCTGAGTCCGTGGGAGTAGAATCAAGTTCTTTGTATAAAACCAATGTTCCATTATGACTCAATACATTTAGAATTTTCGTTCTCATAGAATTCAGACGCCAAGACTGGATCCATGTTGCAGCCAGATAATACAAAGTTAACAACATACTTCTTTCTTTTCAATTACCTATGAAAACATAAAATTGGCATTATAGTGGGATTAGAGTTGAAACTTTTCTAGCTTCTACAAAAATTATTTTATCAACACTAAAATTCTACAAATCAGGTAATTGAATTTTGAAAAAAAATACCTTTTAAATTTTCTTTGTAAAATCAAAATCAGATTATGAATCACAGCTACTTATTGTCCATTTAACAAAGTGACACTCAAAAAAATTATATAAGTGTTGACCAATATGAATTACTATGAAAAAAGGAATAACGACAGTATTTTCTGAAGATTTACCTCTGAACCGGATACAAAGTGGAGTTCAAGCTTTAAGCGGCCAAGGTGGACTATAATTGAAATGCATAATATCTATTTTAGACTGGTTATGCTAGCATAGGTACCCTCTACAACAGGGCAGAATGCCGGAGGTTATTGACAAGTTTTGGCTGACACCACACGCGCACAGCTGCTGGCGTTGTGTGGATGTGTGTGTGTGTGAGAGGTGAGCGACTTCAAACTTGCTGAAAATGGCGATTACTGCGGAAAATAGAAATTGACCGAACAAAATTCTTGGTATTTTAGCTATATATTGTTATTTCAATTGAAATAATATTCTAGAAACTGTTAACAGAATTTCGTGATGAATCGTAATACAGATGTTAAAAGAGAAGCGGAGACTCCCGCTGAATTGGAAAGTCAGTTTATTTTGCGCATGCCTCCGGTATGTTGATTTAGATTTTAATATAATTTATTTACATTTATGGAAGTGTTACTATTATAATGGCATCAACTTGTTACGAAAATGTTTGATAGAGATATTTCATAGATTAATTTAATGTTGAGGTTATGTTTGTGAAAACTTATTTTACAGGAACCTGCTAAAATTTTGCGTGATGCTATCCGCAGCGGAGTTATTCATCTTAAAGACAGACTAAGCATTAGGCTTGAAACTGATATGCGATATGGTGAAGTACGTGTAGACCATTGGTTATTGCATGCCAAGGTAAACATAATTAAATTTTTTTTATTGATTATTCATCTACAATGTTGAATTTATCTATCTCTTTTGATTTTTTGTAGGTTGTGGACTTACCAACTGTAATTGAATCCCTGAAAACTATTGATAACAAAAGTTTTTATAAAACTGCCGATATATGTCAGGTCAGTGAAAACTCCCTAAACGTTACATCAGAATTAGATCTTGCAATGTAAAGCATTTTCCTTTCTCCTAGTATTCTTTCATTCAGGGCCGGATTTACCTACAAGCAAAACAAACAGTTGCTTAAGGGCCCCTGCTTTGGAGAAATATGCATAACATATTTTGTAACAAAACTTAATATAATATATGTAAAATTTTATATGAAAATTATTAGTTTTCATTTGTATTTGTACAGACAGTACTTCTATTAATTTTTTTTATTTAATAAAGATGGAGCTATTTTTACGGGGGGCAGCACAATTTTGTGCTTGGAGGCCCCACTGAAATTAAATCTGGCCCTGTTTTCATCGTCCAACACTATTCCCTTTGTCTTCCATCTGTGCAGACAACTGAAGTTTCTTTTTTATGTATTTATTTTATATATCTAGAAACCTCTGAATTTATCATTATTTTTTCATGAAAATATTTTTTTCAAGATGCTGTATTCTCAACTTTTAATTTTCTGAATTTTTTTTTTTTTTTTTACTTCTGTTAACCAATGCACCTTAATTTGTTTTGATTTGAAATTATAAAATTGTTTATACTTATAATGAGTTTGTGAAAGAACATAGTAACTGAACTATGTAGGGCCGAGGTGGTTAGAGTCTGAGCTGGCTCAGTGCCTCAGTCTGCAGGGTCGCGGATTCACATCCTGATGTGGGTAAGGGTGATTGTCTCTTGTCTTTCATGTATGTGTGCTGTTGCAGAAGGTCTTGTGAGTGTGATGATCACAGACTGAGGAGGCTGCAAGTGTCTATGTGTATAAAAAGAAAATTTAAAAAGAGGTCTGTGAACAACACTCTTTGCACACACAAAATATATATTTTATTTTTAGGGGTATCTTACATGAAGTTCTGAGGACATTCTTGAAATTTTCTCAAATATGGCTCCAAATTGTTCCGATAATTTTTTGCTGAAATAGAGAAAAATATGCTTGCAAAAAATAATGCAGATGCCATTTTGAGTATAACCTCTGAAATTTTCGAAAATTGTTAAAGTAAAAGAATGTTCAAATCCTCAGTCAACTACATTTTTGAAAATAGAAACATTTTCCCTAATAAAATCTGTTCTTCAAAATTTGACCGTTAAATAATGTTACATATATTTTTTTAAAAATATGAGTAGTTGACAAAAAAATACAACCGAGAGGATTATTTTTTATGCAAAAAAAGAATTTGTTTTTCAACCCTAATGAGTAGTGTAGATATGTTATATAATATTTAATGTTAAATGTTATATTTTGTAACTTAACAAAAATATGAGAAAGTAAGTGCTGTTGAACACAACTAGTTTTGCTTAGAAATACTTGCCCTGCAATTGAAAGGGAGATTCATATTCATATTTGTGTTTCAATGGCAGAGTTGTATTTTTTATTGTGACTAACATTTTATGTGGAGATTGTCTGTAAATAATGTAATATTCTGAGTATAATTTTTATTTCTAGCTGCTAATTTGTAAAGAAGATGAAGATCAGACTACAACTGATGAAGAAAGTCCCAGTAAAACAAAGAAAAAGGATCCAAATAAGGTGGATAAGAAGTTCTTGTGGCCACATGGTGTAACTCCACCTCTCAAAAATGTTCGCCGGCGGCGATTTCGCAAAACTCTGAAGAAAAAGTATGTTGAAGCTCCAGAAATAGAAAAGGAAGTAAAACGCCTTTTGCGTGTGGACAATGATGCAGTTAATGTGAAGTGGGAAGTTATTTGTGAAGATGAAGAAAGAAAATCAGGTATTGTTAAAACTGGATATGATGGAGATACTGTAGAAGGAGAACCAGGACCTAGTGGTGACATATCTCTTGAAGCCAGTAATCCACATAGTGTGGATGTTGGTAAGTATATGTTTTTGTATTTCATACTTTAGGTCACTTTATCTGGCTTAATGTGGAGGTTGTTTAATGCATTTGATTTTGGTTTAATGTATTTGGTTGTTGGGAAAACCTTTTTTTTAAATGCATGTATCATTTGAGGAGTTGGAAAATTGTGGTAAATCACCAACTCATTGTTTTGAGAATGAGAAAACAAAGAAAACTTGTCATACAACCTTGAGGCACACAGAAAATTGGGAACTTGTTGTGCATAAGTACTCAATATTATTGAGAAAGGTATTGATCTGCACACCAGGAAAATTATCCACTAAGAGGGATTGATTATGTTAACAGATCTGTGCTCTTCATGTTATTATATGTGAAGTGATAAATTTATTGGACGTTTCCGGGATGTCATCTGCAATGGTCCAGTTCAAGTTGTGCATATTTTATCCAGGGAGATGGCAGTGTTACCATTGACTTGTGGGGTGATTCCCTCAGCTAGGACATGCTCTAAGTGCCCAATTGGTCTTCCAATGTGTGGCAGAGTAGTGCAAAAACTTGTGTAAAGGAGGAGGTGGGAACAAGGATGAGGAAGGAGAGATTGTGTGGTCTGGTAGGGTACTGCTCTGACATTCACTGCGTATTGATCAGAGAATCAGAAAACTTCCAATCAGAGAAGTGGTACACTAGAATTCTCCTCCAGGCAATGGTTGATTTCAAAATAGCCACTTAGCTAGCGTCAAAAAATCCACCACCATTGGGACTCTAGTTGTCTAGGTCAGACCTTTATCTAACTTAGTCTTCTGTATGGGGAGTGAAAAACATACATCCATCCTTATATGATCCTCTCAGACGCCACCATGATTAATTCTACTCTCCAAAGTCAGAAAATAAAGGTGAAAGTACACTTTGTAGAAAATTAAGGTTTATTAATTACAAAAAGAAATATTGCATTGCAACATTTTGTATAATAATTTCTTACAAAAATATAAAAGTTTCTCTGAAAAGTTTTAAGAAATTTACTTAAATATTACGGACTAGGTCAACTTATCCACAGTAAACTTTTTGAATATATTCCTCTGCAACTTATGCCAAGTTTAATCATCAATGTAGACAATGTCATGATAATATTCATTATGCACTTTATTGTAGTGACTTCTAATTGTTTATAGTAATTGTGATTTACTGGGAGAACATGCTTCAACAAACTCACCATCTCTTTGCTTAAGTGTCTGGGCAGGAAGTTTGTTATAGAACATTCAGATTGGTGTTACTCAGTGATGGCGGTTAGCCTAATCTATCTTAATATTTAACTTGATAAGTGTCCTTAACTCAGAAAATGTCTACACACACACACACACTCACCCTCACACACTCACACTTACACACACACATGACACTCACACACACATGTGACACTCACACACGTGACACTCACACACACGTGACATTCACACACACATGACACACACACGTGACACACTCACACACACGTGACACACGTGACACACACACACACACATGACACACACGACACACAACACTTGACACACACGCACACACTTGACACACACTTAACACACTTTAAACTCGATTTGACTCAACTTGAACAACTTCTCTCTGGAATGTGGTGTATGTTAACATCAGAGATACATGCATCTCCTCTGGAGATGGTGTAGGATCTGTGATGGGCATAACCTTTACGACAGGTAGCTTGTTCATCATGGAAGTGTATTGGAAGGAAAAAGCGTTTAACAAGGAAGTATTCCGCCTGTGGAGAAAATTGTTCTATCAGGCACAGCAGAGACAAAGGTTGGCCAGAGCTGGGTAACTAGAGCTTGTGATGAGCTAGGCCAAGAAGAGAAATCAACCACTGAGTTAACCAGTTGACATGTGGAACAAGGACATAGCTCAGCTGCGTCGATATTCTCTCTGAGCCAAGAGACTGTACCAGCGAGCACGTAGCATAGCGACCTCGGTTCCCTAGAGACCTGGGCGCCCAAAGAAGTTTTCTAATAGAAAAGAAAACTGGATTTCAGTTACAGCAATGATGTTATCGGACACTAAGGATGAGCTACTGCACGTAATCAGAATTGGTAATTTCAAGACTCCAGGACCGGATAGTATCCCCAACATCGCCCTCAAGACTGCGATATCCGCTCGGAATGATACCTCTTTGGACCTCCACATCTCACGTCTGAGAATGGAAGAAACTGGTACTTTTTCTAATAAAAAAAACTGAAGAGTCGGCGACTTACGAACCGCATAGTTTGCTCGATTCTGCGGTAAGGGATTTCGAACTTAGCAATATAGTGTTCCGCTCGTTGACACTACCCGACACACCATTAGAGGAACGAGATGGAAAAGAGGTTGCCGCAAGGTTGAGGGACATTCATAAAGCATTGCACAGAATCAATGTGCCTACAAACGTGAAAATAGCAGGTGAATATCTCAATCGCAGAATTGTAGAGTACAATGCGAATGATGGACAGAAGGTACACATCACCGTGGGTGTTCCACAAGGTTCGGTACTGGAGCCAGTTGCGTAACGAAATTAGTGCGGGCCTGCCCACAAAACCTTTATCCGAGCCTCTTTATAAAAGTTAATGGCAAACATACGTAGTGTTAGTACCTTATTAAAAAATCCTTTATCAAATTCATATTTATCAGTTTATGATTACTACATAAGAAATCAATGTTTCTAACAGATTACAGTATGCCCTCTTTCCTGGGCCCGCCCGTATTGCGGACCCGAACTTTGCCACTGCTGTGCAATATTATGTATGGTGAAGTCATTAGGTTCCCTCTCCAGAAGGAATCAGGATTATAGGCTTC